CCTCCGCCTCCTGGGTTCAGGCAATTCTACTGCCTCAGCCTCCTGAGTAGCTGGGATTACAGGCACGGGCCACTATGCCCAGCTAATGTTTTGTATTTTTAGTAGAGACGGGGTTTCACCATGTTGACCAGGATGGTCTTGATCTCTTGACCTTGTGATCCGCCCACCTCGGCCTCCCAAAGTGCTGGGATTACAGGCGTAAACCACCATACCAGGTCAGGGATTCTTAACTTTAGCAGCTTTGATAGAAGTGGAAATCTTCTCTCTAGAAAGATACATACACATAAGGAATTCTGGACACCTTGCAGGGTTTAGGGAACCTCTGAAGCCTGTCCATGAGCCGCTGACGTTCATCTATAGCATGATGTCAGCTGCCGAATGACAGGATCCGTATGCGCCTGGAAGTCCAACAGGCCTGGGTTTGAGTCTTTTCCAAACATTTTGTTGCTTGTTAGCAGCTGGTTTGGACAAATAATTTCAACTTAGTTTTCTTTTCTTTTTTTTTTTAAGATGGAGTTCTGCTCTGTCACCCAGGCCGGAGTGCAGTGGCGCGATCTCGGCTCACCACAACCTCTGCCTCCCAGGTTCAGGCGATTCTCCTGCCTCAGCCTCCCAAGTACCTGGGATTATAGGCGCACACCACCAGGTCCAGCTAATTTTTTTTTGTATTTTTAGTAGAGATGGGGTTTCACTATGTTGACCAAGCTGGTCTTGAACTGCTGACCTAAGGTGATCCACCTGCCTCGGACTCCCAAAGTGCTGGGATTACAGGCATGAGCCACCATATCAGGCACCATACCACACAGCGCCCGGCCTCAACTTAGTTCTCTCATCTGTGAAACAGGGAGAAAAAGCACTTACCCTGTAGGGCTGTTGTGAATACTGAATAAGACGACACACGTTGAATACCCAGGCACACTGTCTGCCTGCAGTAGGGAGTCAGGACATGGTAGGTCTCTTGCCGCACGCCTCCTCTTTATGCAGTCCCTCATGCTGCCCCACCTGGCCTCGGATTCCTCCCACCTCCACCTCCTGGGTAGCTGGAACTACACCACACTATGCTTCAACCCTCTTTTTGATCATTCAAAGCCCTTTGGTTCCATGCACCTGCTCACATTTACTGCAATTCCTATAGAATCCAAATTCTTTTATTTATTTTTTTTTTTTTTCCAGACAAAATCTCACTCTATTGCCAGGGCTGGAGTGCAGTGGCATGATCTCGACTCACTGCTACCTCTACCTCCTGAGTTCAAGCAATTCTTCTGCCTCAGCCTCCCAAGTAGCTGGGATTACAGGCATCCACCACTATGCCTGGCTAATTTTTTGTATTTTTAGTAGAGACAGTGTTTCACCATGTTGACTAGGCTGGTCTCGAACTCCTGATCTTGTGATTTGCCTGGCTTAGCCTCCCAAAGTGCTGGGATTACAGGTATGAGCCACTTATGCCCGGCCCATAATCCAAGTTCTTTTAACCTGGTGTTGTAGGTCATCTATAATCCTAATCGAAGCAGCCAGTCTATTCTCCCACACCACTGTTCATCCACCTGCGTGTCCCACACCAACCCACACCATCTGCTGGTTCTAAATACACCTGAAGCACCGAAAGGCCCTGAGTCTGGCTGCCACCTCCCTGAAGCCAAGTGCCTTTCCCGCTTCACTCTAGGCTGCTCTCTATGCTGTGTGTCCCCAGCTGGATAGCAGCTCCTCAGGGCAAGGAACAACTCCTCTTCCTGCTCAGTGCAACTTCCAAACCACAGCAGAGGAGCGTGCACTGGGAGCCAGGCCTGGCACAGAAAACACAGCAGCACAGGGCTGCCGGAGGGCGGAGGGGACAGTGACCTGCCTGCATCATAATACATGCCAGGGAGCCCCACCTTTTGCCTATGGAAGGCACATGCTTTGAGCTTGATTTTCTTGGGTGGGGGGGTGTCTATGCCACCTGCACTTTCTCACCCAGTCCAATGCACAGACAGGGACAGGGACAGCATCTGCTGCTGTGGAACACAGCAGAGCCACCTGCACTCCTGTGGACATCACCAAACTGGCAGCTTCACTGAAGGTGCCCCCGGCCTGTGCAGGCACTCAGCTGATGCCCCTTCTCTTCCCTCCTCAACCCCATTAGCTTTAGGTCTTCCCTGCCTGTGCTGAGAGAAACATTAATGGTGAGCACCAGAGTAAAATCCAGCACAGCAGGTAGAGTTTCAGTAAAAACCCAAAAGCGTGACTCGAGCTCAGAGGGCCCAGATGTGGGCAGGACAACGAGGAACAGGGCAGCCCAGGGTGGCAGGATGGGGGGTGGATAAGAGTGGACAGGGGAGAGTAGTCAGGAGGAGGGACGTGGCTGCGCCACCAGCCCACATGGGCAGGCTGGAGACCGGGAGAGACTGTGTCTCCTCCAGCCTGGCTGTCTGGGCCAAGTTCTGACGGCAGCCGGGAGGAATGTGAGAAAGAAAGCAAGACGAACTTTGCCACCTCTGGCTGGCCAGGGGAAGTTTGTGTTGGAAAAGAATAAGCCACAGGCCCCTACTGTTCTGCTGCCTTCTCCCCTCCTACCCTGGGGGACGGCCCGCACCTTCTAGTCCACTCCTCCCTGCCCTCTGCCACTCCCTTTGATACCCAAGAGCCCCCTCCCTCCTTGCCCAGGTGCTCCAGGGAGCCAGGCCTGAGAGTCTCGGGAGGCCCAGAGGAGGAAATGATGATCCGAAAGGGCAGCATCACTTTCAATGGTATCTCTGTCTCACATTCGTGCCTCCAGCTCTGTATGAGGCAGGAAGGGAGGGGAAGAGACTCTGCTAGTGTTGGCTGGGCTGGAGACTCAGGAAAGGGAGCCTGGGCTGTGGGGGTGAACCTGCCCTATGTGTTTCCCCAGTGAAAGGAGGACAGGCGCACCTGCAGGGCTCCGTTTGCTGGGCTTCCTGCTGGGGGCTGCACCCCTTGTCCCATTTAACCTTTCTCATAATTTCCCATCTGAAAAAACCTAGTGAGGTAGGTGTTATTTAAAATATCCCCATTTTCAGATGAGGAAATGGAAGTTCAGAAAGGTTTGATGAGCCCAAAGCCAAGAGGTTAGCTGGGACTTGAACCCACGTCATCTTGATTCTGAAGCCAATGTTTTGTTTTGTTTTGTTTTGTTTTTTGAGACGGAGTTTCGCTCTTGTTACCCAGGCTGGAGTGCAGTGGCACAATCTCGGCTCACCGCAACCTCCACCTCCCGGGTTCAAGCAATTCTCCTGCCTCAGCCTCCCTAGTAGCTGGGACTACAGGCGTGCGCAACGATGCCCAGCTAATTTTTGTATTTTTAGTAGAGACGGGGTTTCACCATGTTGACCAGGATGGTCTCGATCTCTCGATCTCGTGATCCACCCGCCTCGGCCTCCCAAAGTGCTGGGATTACAGGTGTGAGCCAGCGCGCCCAGCATCAATGTTTTTTGTTCGGTTGTTTTTCCCAAGGCATCAGCCCCCTTCAGGGGACCCTATCCTATCACTTCCTCTCTCCACGGCTCCCTCAGCCCCTCTTTCCTCCCACTCCCATTTTGAGTGTCATCAGCAAGTCAAGAGCAAGACCAGATGGTAGCCACTAGCTGCACGTGGCCAACCACATCATTACTATTAATTAAAATTAAAACTCCAATTCTTCGGTGGCTACCATAACGGACAGCACAGACAGGAAACATTTCCATCCTCCTGCCGGTCTGGACTTAAAGGCCAGTCAGGAGGTAGACAGAATGGGAGAGGCCAGCCAAAGGGCCTCAGGGACAGAGCTGCCTTTGTGAGGAGATGAGGTTTTGGAAGTGACTTTGGGTGAGGAGAGCAGGGGTGTCTGAGGCCCGGGGTAGGAGAGGACAGCCTGCTGGACTCCCAGGCACCTCCCTCCGATACTGATACTCTGGCAATACCAGTGAGCAATTAATTGGCTGGGGCGGGGCCAGGGCCAGAGCAGAAGGAAGGCAAACACATGGAGGAGGAGCCACCACCCTCTCAGCAGATGGCAGGGCCCCGGTCCTCCTGGCCTCCTTTCTTCCTTTGAGGACCCGGGAGCCTGTGTGACCCTCCTTGACCTGCCCAGAGATGGCTGCTGCTTCCTGCTCGCTCATCCAGCCCAGGGCCAGCGGGTGGGCTACAGGGCCACCACCTTCCCAATTAGCCTTCTTAGCCTCTTGCTCACCCTTGAGGTCTGGGTCACCAGCCACGGGGAGAGGCTGTGAATGGCCTGTGAGTAACCAAGGCCCAGCTATGACAGAGGTCATCAGCACAGGCCTCTCCCCTGGCTGAGCCCTGGCTCCCAGCATCGCTGCCCCCCCTCCCAGCCCCCGCACCATGCTGTCCCCAGAAAGCCCAGAAGCGACAGGTCAGGGAGTTGGTTTTGGGAATGCAGCGCTCCATTTCTTAGAGGGAGAAGACTCCCCCGGTGATGGAACACGTAACACGTGTATGGCTGGCCTGGTACTTGGGCAATGGTGGGAGGGGGAGTCTGGAGAGTGGGGCAGGAGTCATTTGAAGGAGGAAAGTGGAGGTGGAGTGATGGGGTCCCAAGGAAGAAGCAGATCAGGGGCTGTGAATGGGACCTCACTGGGGTTCGGTGGCGGGGCTGGAGCAGGCACCCAACCAAGTGCGGAAGAAAAAGCTGAAACGCCCATGTCTGTGAGTGGAGGGCAGATGGGGAGACAGGCCAAGCCGGGTAGGGAGGAGAGGGAAGGAGCCAGGCGGCTGGGTTCCGTGGCAAGAGTGGCCGCCCCAGAGTGGGTGGCCGTGGGGCAGAGCGCCTGGTTCCAGGTTAAGCAATGAGGATCCAGGGCCAGGCCTGTCAGGTGGCAGGATCGTTAGGGCCCCGTGGCCATGGGTACCCCACACTGCAGCCACTGCTGCTGCTGAGTAGGCAGATGTACCGGGCTGATTACCATGCTCCTCCCGGCCACACCAATTTCCCCCGGGCACCCTCCCCCTCCACCCCTCCTGCCCTCCCCACAGTGACTCCTGCCCAGGGAATGTCCAGCTCTGGCATAAAGGACCCGGGAGTCCTCGAGCTGCCGTCAGTTAGGAGGCTGTGCAGTCCGAGATGGGCTCGTCTCGGGCACCCTGGATGGGGCGTGTGGGCGGGCACGGGATGATGGCACTGCTGCTGCTGGCTGGTCTCCTCCTGCCAGGTAGGAGGCTGGGGGCTCTGGGAGCAGGAGGGAGGTGGAAGGGAGAGTCCAGGAGTGGACTCAGCGAAGGGGATGGGCAGGGGCTCTGGAATCTGCCTTTTGAATCTGGGGGTTGCTCCTCACTGCCTTGTCACCTCAGGTAAGTTACTTAAACTTCCTGAGCCTGTTTCTGAAACTCTAAAGTGGGGTTAATAATAACATTTAGCTCTAGTCTATGTGTCTCAAATTAAATAATGTATGTGACATGTGCTTTAAATTCTAGAGGTTTACATAAATGTTAGTGGTGGTGATTTTTATTTTATTTATTTATTTATTTATTTATTTATTTTGAGATGGAGTTTCGCTCTTGTTACCCAGGCTGGAGTGCAATGGCACGATCTCGGCTCACCGCAACCTCCGCCTCCTGAGTTCAGGCAATTCTCCTGCCTCAGCCTCCTGAGTAGCTGGGATTACAGGCACGCGCCACCATGCCCAGCTAATTTTTCGTATTTTTAGTAGAGACGGGGTTTCACCATGTTGACCAGGATGGTCTCGATCTCTTGACCTCGTGATCCACCCGCCTCAGCCTCCCAAAGTACTGGGATTACAGGCTTGAGCCACCGCGCCCGGCCCAGTGGTGGTGATTTTTATTATGACAGCAGTACAAGATAATGATTGGACATTTAGTAGTAATAATAACTGTTACATTTTGAGAGACTTTTTATGTGCCAGACTCTGTTTAAAGCACAATTTGGATTATGTATGGGTACCTTTTGTTTGTCTGTTTGTTTGAGATGGAGTCTCACTCTGCCTCCCAGGCTGGAGGGCAGTGGCATAATCTCAACTCACCGCAACCTCCACTTCCCGGGTTAAAGCAGTTCTTGTGCCTCAGCCTCCCGAGTAGCTGAGACTACAGGTGCCCACCACCATATCAGGCTAATTTTTTTTTGTATTTTTAGTAGAGACAGGGTTTCACCATGTTGGTCAGGCTGGTCTCGAACTCCTGACCTCAAGTGATCCTCTCGCCTCGGCCTCCCAAAGTGCTGGGATCACAGGTAGGAACCATCATGCCTAGCCTATGTTAGCACTTCTGATCATTACAAGAATGGTATGAAAGAAAATTTGCTATTTCCACTCTACAGATGGGGACACTGAGGCTTGGTGAGGTTAGGAAACCAGCGCAAGACCATGCATTAGGAAGCAGTAAAGCCAAGACTCTAAACCAGGCCAGGCGACCACTGGACCTGTGTTTTGGCCACCGGGTACCTACAGCCCTTGAGAAATTTCTGTGACCTTCCTATGGCCTGGTGGGTGGTTGGTGTCTTAAGGAATAGAGAAAGAGAGGGGCAATTCTTGGAGGATTCGTGCAGAGGACTGAAGGGAATTGCCACAGCTGGGGTTTGGTGTGGTGGTACATGCAAATAATTTCTTTTTGAGGAGAGAACAGGGACATCACAGATGACGGAAGTCCGGTTGTTGGTGGAGGGATCAGGATGAGTGGCAGTAATAAAGCATGATGTATAATGCTTTATGCTTTCTAAAACATCATCCAGCAGGGTGTGGCTCATGCCTCTAATCCCAACACTTTGGGAAGCCAAGGCGGATGGATCACCTGAGGTCAGGAGTTTGAGACCAGCCTGGCCAACACAGTGAAACTCCATCTCTACAAAAAATACAAAAAAATTGCCGAGTGTGGTGGTGGCCACCTGTGGTCCCAGCTACTTGGAAGGCTGAGGCAAGAGAATCCCTTGCACCCAGGAGGCGGAGGTTACAGTGAGTTGAGACCCTGCCAAGGCAACAAGAGCAAAACTCCATCTCAAAAAAAAAAAAAAAAAGAAAGAAAAAGAAATCTTCCATGTGGATGCTCTCATTTAGTATTCACAGTAATGCTGTGGGAAGGCAGGGCAAATTTGGCTCCTCTAAATGTATAACTAAAGCTCAGAGAGGTTCAGTAACTTGCTGGTATGTGGCTCCGTCTGTGACTCGTGGGACCTGGAGGGGCTGGGGTAGGCAGAAGGAACGTGAGTGAAAGAGTCGTAGAGAAAGGATGAGGTAAGTTGGGCCTGCGGGTTTGAGCAAAGGCAAGGAATGGTAAGGAGAGATGCGGTCCCACATTCCCGAGGGAAGTCAAAGAAGCAGAAGTCAGATGAGGGGCTGGATGGAGGCCGGCGGGCTCAGAGAGGGAAGCTGATGGTGGCCAGGAGCCTCGGAGGCTCTCAGGGTTTCCTCCTGGTTCCCTGGGCTGGGCCAGGGAAAGCAGGGCTGGCTCAGGGTGCGGTGTCCTGCCACACTGGTACCAGCAGGTTCTGAAGCAACAGGTGGTGACCCCACATCCTGGCCCCCACCCAGCTTTACTGGCATGGCCAGTGCTGGGATGGGAAATAGGGTTTCCATTTCTGACCGCAGCCTGGGCTCTCACGAAGAAGCTGGGGACCAAATCTTAGTCCTCGAGTGCTCGTTCCTTTAATTCAGCGCCGCTGCCCCCAGGCTTCTATTTCCAGTGTCTCCTGCTATGTTTTTCTCCACTTCTCAGCCCTCCATTGTTTTGCCTTTTGTCTTCTCCTTCCCTTTGGTCCCCCTATCTGGCCCAGGATTTTTCCCTAAGAATTTATGCCTGCACTTCTCAGAGTCATAGTTTCCCCAATTCTCTGTCTCTTCAGGGCCCTTTCTTTTAGACCTACGTGTTCCTGCCACTTCTCCATTCCTTCTTCTTTTTAAAAAAATTTTTAATTAAAAAACAAAATAGAGATGGGATTTTACTGAGGGTCCCCCACTTTGGCACCTAATTTTCTATTTTTCTGGTTGGTGTTTGTCCACCCTTCCCAAACAATGGAACTGCCTTTATTCTGTCACCTCAATAACCTTTAGAGACGATAGCCAGTTCTCCCTTCTTTCTCCCTCCCCAAGCTCTCCCTGGGCTCCTCTTGGGAGAAATCGGAAAAGCAGATGACTGAGCTGGGGCTGAAGGGTGAGGGAGGAAGCCAAGGCTCCCTGGCCCTTACTGACCACTCCTTTCCTCCCCAGGGGCCTTGGCTAAGAGCATTGCCACCTTCTCAGACCCCTGTAAGGACCCCACGCGTATCACCTCCCCTAACGACCCCTGCCTCACTGGAAAGGGTGACTCCAGTGGCTTCAGCAGCTACAGTGGCTCCAGCAGTTCTGACAGCTCCATTTCCAGCGCCAGTGGCTCTAGTAGTGGCTCCAGTGGACCCAGCGTCGCCCAGAGTGGTTCTTCCGGATCTTTTAAGCCAGGAACGGGGTACTCCCAGACCAGCTACTCCTCTGGATCTGCCTCTAGTCTACAGGGGGCATCTGGATCTCCCCAGCCGGGCAGCGGCAGCTCTTACTCCGGAAGCAGCGGCTCTCAGTCCGGAAGCAGCGGCTCTCAATCCGGAAGCAGCGGCTCTCACTCCGGAAGTAGCAGCTCTCACTCCGGAAGCAGCCCCTCTCATTCGTGGAGTAGCAGCTCTCATTCGAGCAGCAGCTCGCATACAGTCAGCGGCACCTACCAAGTAGGGAATGGCTCTGCTCTGCCAACCAACCCCGATTCTTCCCGCATACTAATGAGACCTTCCCAGACCTCAGGGGCGTCCATCAGTGGCCAAAGTGTCAGCTCCAACCTGCGTCCCTGTAGTTCGGACATCCCCGATTCTCCTTGCAGTGGAGGGCCCGTGATCACGAAGGACTCCAGCCCTTACATCTCCAGCTCCCACTCTGTGTCAGGGGGTCAGAGGCCTGTGGTGGTGGTGGTGGAGCAGCACGGTTCTGGTGGCCCTGGAGTGGTTCCAGGTGCCCCCTGTAGCAATGGTGGCCTTCCAGGCAATCCCTGCCCCCCAATCACCTCTGTAGAGAAATCCTACGGTGGCTACGAGGTGGTGGGTGGCTCTTCTGACAGTTATCTGGTTCCAGGCATGACCTACAATAAGGGGAAAATCTACCCTGTGGGCTACTTCACCAAAGATAACCCTGTGAGAGGCTCTCCAGCAGTCCCTTCCTTTGCAGCTGGGCCCCCCATCTCTGAGGGCAAATACTTCTCCAGCAACCCCATCATCCCCAGCCAGTCGGGAGCTTCCTCGGCCATTGTGTTTCAGCCGGTGGGCACTGGTGGGGTGCAGCTCTGTGGAGGCTCCAAGGCGCCCTGCTCTTCCTCCGGTTCTCAAGTCCACATCAGTTCTAGCGTTTCCAGCAGCTCCGGTTCACCCTACCATCCCTGCGGCAGTGCTTCCCAGAGCCCCTGCTCCCCACCAGGCACCGGCTCCTTCGGCAGCAGCTCCAGTTCCCAATCCAGTGCCAAAATCATCCTTCAGCCTTGTGGCAGCAAGTCCAGCTCTTCTGGCCACCCTTGCATGTCTGTCTCCTCGGTGACACTGACTGGGGGTCCCGATGGCTCTCCCCATCCTGATCCCTCCGCTGGTGCCAAGCCCTGTGGCTCCAGCAGTGCTGGAAAGATCCCCTGCCGCTCCATCCGGGACATCCTAGCCCAAGTGAAGCCTCTGGGGCCCCAGCTAGCTGACCCTGAAGTTTTCCTACCCCAGGGAGAGTTACTCGACAGCCCATAAGTCAGCGTTTGCATGTGTGCATGCCTGGGGCACACACAAGCACATACATTGTATCTCATTTGGGAGAAGTCCAGTGCCCAGGCATAGGGTTAGCTCAGTTTCCCTCCTCCTTCCCAAAAGAGTGGCTCTGCTTCCTCCACTACCCCAAGGTGGCAGACTCTCATCACCCCTTCCTCCTTCCTCTCCCTAATATTGTAGATTCAAAGCTCCTCTCCGATTCTCTCCTACTGTTTAGATTCCCATTCCACTGCAGTGCTCCCTCAGCCAGATAACCACCCCTTACAATTCCGTCTGCTATGTCTTTGAAATGGTCCATTGAGTAACCCCCGCCCCCATCAGCTTCTCAACTGGGAAACCCCTGAAATGCTCCCAAAGCACCTCTGATGCCTGGAAAACTATACGTTTCTCTTCCACTTTACCAAATAAAGCAAAGTCAAACCAACATCTGGAAACAGTGGCCACTTTTCACTGACCTCTCTTCAACATCTGATCAACTCACCCAATATACTACTGGGCTCTCGCTCCCAGTTTCACCCCACCCTCCATTACAGAGCTCACCACGCCCTTCTACATCACCGTCCTGAACACACCCATCGCCTCTTAAGTCCCTTATCTCAGCCCCTTCCCTCAGTGCTCAGATGCTTCCCTGGGTGAGGGAGACACTGGGGTGCCCGCAGAGGTTGGAGCAGACTCCCTGCTCTCTCTGGATCCTGGACCGTTGATCCTGGCTCAGTAAACTGTGGGGATAGATGCAGACTTTTTGCCTTCTTGGAGTTCTGGGTCTCCTCTGAGAGCCTGGGTCGTGCTCCTCCTGCACCTCTAGAGGTCTCTGTATCCCTAGTTTTCCTTCAAAAGAGGACCGTATTTCTCCTCTACCTTCCAGCTCCTCCCACAGAGGAGGAAGACAATAAATATTTGTTGAACTGAAAGCAGAGATTGCCTGGTCTTCCAGATCCTTCCTCCATTTCCCTCCTCTCATTGCTCCAGGAAATCCATTCTCTTCCCATTCCTCATTCACCATGGGGTCCCCTCTTCCCTTATTTAGGGCCCTTAGTGCTTCCTCTCGCTCCCCTCCCCACCCAAGCTCCTTTTCTTCCACCATTAGCGTGCCTCACCTTGTAGACGCCATCCTCTCTGGGAGTCGCGAGTCTCCATTTCCTGGGTTTCTGGGACACCTGGAAGCTTGGGAAGGCTGAGACACAACAACTCCAACCAGATTCCTGTCAACTGAGTAGGAGCCCAGGTGGGCGTTGCTCCTGGAGCTGGGGGTGGAGAGAGTAAAGGACTGAGAGGATGGAAGAGGGGAAGGGAGTGTAGCCAGCAGGGTGACTCACTGGCCTAGATAAAGAGGCCCGCCCGCCCGAAGCACAGCAGAGCCGGCAGTGGCCTCTCCATCTTCACAATCCCTGCTCTGCTGGGGTCCAGAGTGAGAGCGGGCGCAACATGGCTCGGGTGAGGGCAGAGAGGACAGAGTGGTCTCCATTGGAGAAGAGAGAGCATGTGCAGACCGTGGTGAGGTTCGTGCGACTTAAGTCCTGAGACAGGCAGGAAGAGGCTGAGGCTGACAAAGTTCCTGCATCCCAGGGAGGCCTGTGCTTGTCTCTGTAGGAGCCCCACCCCCCACCCCCAGCACAGGCCACCTCTCAGAGCCTCTGCTTGGCTCCAGAGGAATTCACCCCTACCCTAGCACTTAACCCATTCTCTCCTATCGGGATGGTGCTGTCTGGTCCTGAACGTGTAACTGTTGAAACTACAAGTCTGGAATCAGCAGAAATGTATCACGTCGACAAGAAAGGGATTGAATCACCCTTGGTCCAGCGTCTGGACCCTGATCTGCAGCCAATGGCAGGAATCGAGGTCCTCAGATACTTCATGGATGGGAATCACAGGGAGGGTAGGCCCTCTGATGTGGTGGTTCCTCGAGTCTCTTGCTGTGCTCCAAATTAAAAGCTTGGGTACAACTCATGCAGGTCACCCGAAACGGCCTTGGGCTCCACCCACTGCCAGTTCTGGAGAGGAACTCTTCACTCCTGCAGTGGTTAAGCCAGCAGGGGCTGGGGAGGAGGACACAGTGGAATCAGCCCGCAGCTCATGTTTAGACCTCAGGCAGCCGGGGAAGTCTACTCTTGGGGCCTCCCAGAAGCAATGGACAGAACAAAGGCATTGCATTTTTATAACACACATTTCAAACGTATTCAAAAGTCAACAAACAGTTAATGAATCTCTACATTCCCGTCACCCAGCTTCAACAATGATCAAGTCCTGGCCATTTGACAGCAGCATTTAAAGGCCTTTCTCTGGATCATGAGGTCAATAGTCAAAGACCAGCCTGAACAACATGGTGAAACCCTGTCTGTACTAAAAATACAAAAATTAGCCAGGTGTGGTGGTGCTTGCCTGCAATCCCAGGTATTCAGGAGGCTGAGGCAGGAGAATGGCTTGAACCCGGGAGGCGGGGGTTGTAGTGAGCCGAGATTATGCCATTGCACTCTAGCTTGGGTGACAGAGTGAGACTCTGTCTCAATAAATAAATAAATAAAGGTTTTCCTCTACTGTTACCTGGAAATAACAGTATTCTTTCTCCCAGTGTGTCTTATGTTCTGTGGCACATCTGGCCACCTGTGCCTGGCAGAATGATGTCTCCAACCCTAACACCATCAAAGATGTCCACATCCTAACCCCTGGAACCTGGGAATTAGGTTACATGACACCGGGAAGTTAAGGTTGCCGATGGATTAAGGTTGCTAGTCATCTGACCTTAAAGAGATGATCATGGATTATCCAGGTGGGTCCGGTGTAGTCACTGGGTCCCTTAATGTGGATGTGGGAGGCAGAAGAAGTCTGAGTGGCACAGGATAAAAACTGGCTGATTTTGACTTTGGAGATGGAGGAAGGGGACCATGAGCCAAAGAACACAGGTAGCCTCTAGAAGGTGAAAAAGCAGGGAAATGGATTCTCCCCTGAGGCCCCCAGAAAGAAGCACAGCCCTGCTGACACCTTGATTCTAATCCACTGCAACCTGTTCTGGACTTCTGACCTCTAAAACTGTGAAGTTTAATAAAGCCATGTTGTTGCGAGCCATTCCATTCACAGTGATTTGTCACTGCAACAGCAGGAGTCAACCAGCATCTCATAAGGATGGATCCAGCCCCGTTTCCCAGCTAGATCCACATCTCATCTAGGAGCAGCTCCTCTGATGGGGCCACTTCTGCACCCCAGAGCCTCCTGCAGGTGGGGGCTGAGGTGAAGGAGATGTGAGGATGCATGAGAAAGGGGTGCTGGGAGTGGATAATCTGGACCCCAAAGAGAACCAAGTGTTTCTGTTGCTGAGAGTAGCAATTAAGAGAGTGGGACCCCACGGTGGAGGTCCGTGTGTGGAGGGAAACAGGGTGGGGGAGGCTGGCAAGCAGGGGTGAGCTATGAGCCTGGACACCTGGGCCAAGAAGGGGCAAGGAGCTCAAGGAAAGGTGCCAGGGTGGGAAACACCCAGCTTCCTCTCGGACATTCATTCAAGTAGCACCTGTTGCCACAGACCGCATTAGGAATGAGGGTGGAATGTGGAGGTTTATTGTCTCCACAACCACTAGCCCAGCCTGTTTCTGCTGTCCCCCGCCCCGCTACCAGGATAAAGGCTGGCTGTCTTGGGGCTGAGGGAGATGCGGGTGCTGAGCAGGATGCAGGGCCGCGTGGCAGGGAGCTGCGCTCCTCTGGGCCTGCTCCTGGTCTGTCTTCATCTCCCAGGTATGGAGGCCATGCCTGACCCTTGGGCAGGAGGCACTGGAGGTCCCCCAGGAAACAGGAGTTAAGAGAAGGAATAAAGGCAGGAGGGTACACCTTTGGGTCCCTGAGGGAAAAGGAAGAATAGGCATAGGGGAAGCAAAGGGAATCAGGGAATCCAGGAAGGGAGACCATTAGTTGCTTTATCTTCTCTTTCCCTCAGGCCTCTTTGCCCGGAGCATCGGTGTCGTGGAGGAGAAAGTTTCCCCAAACTTGGGGACCAGCTTGCCTCGGCTTGGGCAACCTTCCTTGACTGGCCTCTCTAACTCGGAACATCCTCAGCCCTCCCTGGACCCTAGGTCTAATGATTTGGCAAGGGTTCCTCTGAAGCTCAGCGCGCCTCCCCCTGATGGCTTGCCCCCTGCAGGAGGTTCTGGGGTGCAGAGGTGGCCTCCATCCCGGGGGCTGCCTGCCGTGGATTCCTGGCCCCCCGAGGATCCTTGGCACATGATGGCTGCTGTGGCTGAGGATCACCGAGGGAGAGTGCTGCCTGAAGCACTCTCTTACCTGTCCAGTGCCGCGCCCCTCCCTCCAGGCAGTGGCCCTTTCCCTGGGGAGTCCCCTGCCGACGCCACAGACCCCTCGTCCAAGGCTTTAGTCCTCTACCAGGACTCAGAGTCCAGACGACCGCCCCCTTCTAATCCTCTGGGAGCCGGGGGAAAAATCCTTTCCCAGCGCCCTTTCTGGTCTCTTATCCACAGGCTTCTGCCTGGTCACCCCTGGGAGACCCTGAATCCCAGTGTGTCCTGGGGAGGTGGAGGCCCTGGGACTGGTTGGGGAACGCGGCCCATGCCACACCCTGGGGGAATCTGGGGCATCAATAATCAACCCCCAGGTACCAGCTGGGGAAATATTAATCGATATCCAGGAGGCAGCTGGGGAACTATTAATCTATACCCAGGTATCAATCATCCATTTCCTCCTGGAGTTCTCCGGCCTCCTGGCTCTTCTTGGAACATCCCAGCCGGCTTCCCTAATCCTCCAAGCCCTGGGTTGCAGTGGGGCTAGAGCATGACAGAGGGAAACCCCACACTGGGAGTTAGAGAAGGGAGTCCTGCTCCCGCCCCTGCCGTGTGGGCTCAATCCAGGCCCTGTCAGCGTGTTTCCAGCAGTATCCCCACTTTTCACCGCCTCCCCTGCTCATCTCCAATAAAATAAAAGCACTTATGGAATTTGCTTCTCCTCGGTGTCTTTGTTTCTGGGCATAAGCTGAAGTGAGTCTGTCCATTCCCGTTTTCTAGCTATCCCCACGTCCCTCCAGGGGCCCCTGCAGATGCTCTCTTGCTATCCCATCCTTTGTAGAGGATCAACACTCGGGTGCTTGAAGGTGGAGCCTCACAGTCTCACCTCAGGCAGGTGGGAGACTGTCCCAGAACTGTGCTGGAATCTGAAAGGGGGAGGAGGGACAGCAGGACTGATTGACACACAGCAGGGGGAAGGGTGAGGTCCCTGAAGGCGGCTCCAGGACCAGGTGGGCAGAATTCCTTGCAATTCACAGAAACAGAAAGCCAAGTCACAATGTCTATGCTTCACTTGTCTTTTCTTCCCCAGAAAGTCACGCTTCTTGGAAGTGGAGGATGCATTGGTCTCTTCCCTTACAGGCATCATTTAGCACATTGTGTCCAAGAGAACCACAGACTTTGAACATTTGCTGAGTAAACAGCAGACGTTGATAAAGGAAAAGACAAAAGGGAGAAAAAACCTTGGAGCCAACAATCCCACCTGGGGTGACATTTGATGCCTTTATTCCCAAGCGATGACACAGTCTCATCCTTTGGTCACATTATTGTCTTGCCTGCCCTCCCTTTGGCTTTCCCAGGAGCTCAGCATCCTCACACAGGAGTTGGAGTGAGGGCAGTGAAGGATCAGACTACAAAAGCACAGATGAAATTAGCAGGTGTGGGTGGGAGGTGGTTTGGTTCTGGATTCTCTTTTCCCTGTGCTGCGCCTGCAGTGGTCCGGGTGTATGGACTCTCCATCCAGCCAGGTCCCTGGGAGTTGGGCAGCTTGTGGGAGGGGAGGAGGGAGTAGGAAAAACACCAGAACTCAAGGCATGGGGAGCTACCTGCCTGCCTGAGTGGGAGACGGGTGTTTCCAGAGAAGATGCCCTGTCCCAGCGTCTGCCATAAGGTTCCAGCCTGCACTGAAGTCC